CTGGAAGGAGCTTAGCGGCATGGTTCTGTTCTTGATTTGGCGAAAGTAAAAAAGCAGGAGAGAGAAGCTGACAGTGTAAAGGGAAGCTGAAACAGAATCCCAGACATAAATGGGGTTGCACCTCTAGAGAAAGGAGCAAAGATACTACTGAATTCTTAGACATTCTTGGTTGAGTTGAAGCATCCTACTTAGTAAAACACTCCCTCGCTCCCCTGGCAACGCTGGGTGAAGGCACAGGGATCAGTGAATGCGCTATGGAGAAACAAGGGCTTCCCACTTACATTGAGGTATTTGGATTTTAGTAGTTACTGCTAGCTTAATACTGTTCTGGATTTTACTTACTCTTCTATAAAGGGTCAACTATATCATTTAGTTTGTGGACGTAGAATTATAAGAACTACTACCTGAATAGGATAGCGACAGAACTCAGGGAGAAATGGATATCCCCTGAGAATCATGGACTCTGAAACTGATAAACAGATTTTACATTGGTTCCCAAAGCCCCTCTCTTGGATGAGTGACTGTTATCTTATAGGGGAAAACAGAGAATATGTTTGCACTTGTTCAGAGGACAGTTTGAATAAGTTGGTTAGGGCTCATATTTGAGCTCATATTTCTAGGAAGAACACTGGTTCCTGGCAGCTAGTGAAGGTTGAAATGTACTAGATATTTATTTCTGCAATTGTTAAAGATCTGATCAGATCCAGGAACCATTGGGACTTCATGTTGACAGGCTCCATTAATCAACTACCCAATAATTCAACTTTGAACCCACCTAATATACTAGTAAGCCTGAATTCTTCCATCTGAGCCATGAAGATATTATGATACTTGTCAAGAAAACCCACAGGTAGTGTTAGAAGAAAACTACAAAGGGGAGAGGCAGAGAGATGATGTCCCCTCACACAAAGGGACCTATGGGATTATGGGCTCTCTGTCCTTGATCTTGGATATCTGTCTCTTTCTCTTTATCTTTAATTGTTGTCCTGGGAGAAGCTTGTTACCATGGGACTAGAAGTGAAGGTACATTTTCTAAGGAGGAGTTGGCTTTCAAATAATGACCTGAAACTGTTGCACAGTGTTCTGTGACAAACCTCCTGTGGCCCTGCCCTAATTAGAACTCTGGAAATGAAGTTAGTTAGGTGTGGATTAGGATGATGCAGTTGCAAGGTTGGAAGGACTCTGAAAGGGCATCTTGTATAACCCAAGTCTGAATTCCCTTTAAAAAGCAGCCTCTGTCACAGAGATTAAATCCACACTTGTACAAGATGCTTAGTGCCAGGGCAGTTTTACTGTACAGAAGTCCTGCCATATATTGAACTGAACTCTTTCTTCCTGTAGCTTCTTCTATTGGGTCTTTGGGGTTGTAACAAGACAACTGAGTCTCTTGTAAAACAGTTCTTTAAATTTTTTACATGGCTTGATTCCTAAACACAAGTCACCTAGTACATTTCTGCTTTCTTGATGAAACAGTGAAAAGATCTGACACTTTTTAACTTTCAAACCTAACCCTGCAAAGTAAGATGTGAGTCTATATGTTCAACTTCTATCCCTCTGCTTCTATACTTGCCCCTGTGTTATTTTTAACCCTGAAACTGGAGTTTATTTTTTAAATTATTTAATTCATTGAATTTATTTTTAATTAGTTTAACTTAAAAACAAATGTTGATGGGTAATTGACATATCACATATAAGGGGTCGAGAAGTACAAGTTTCCAAGGGAGTGTATAGCTCGGTGGTAGAGCACATGCTTAACAGGCAAAACGTCCTCGGTTCAGTTCCTAGAACCTGCATTAACAACAACGAAAAAAGGTACACATTTCCAGTTATTAGAGTTAACTTTAATCAGTTGAAGTCAGATCATTTCATTCCTCTAAAAATCTGTCCATGGCTTTGCATTTCACACAGAATGCAAAGTCCTCATAATGGCCCAGAAGTCCTATATGATCTGTCCCCTGTTACCTCACTGACCTTTTCTCTTATTGTGTCCCCTTTGCCAGCCCCCTGCTCCATCCACACTGACCGCCTTGCTGTCTCTGGAACATGCCTCCCCATGAGGGTCCTTACTCTACCTGTCTCTCTCCCAGACCTTCTCCCTGATATCTCCCTGGTTTACCCTCCTACTCCCCCATCTCACCCTTTCAATTACGCCTACCCTTTCCGCCCTGTTCCATGTTGCAAACTGCACCACTGCCCTGCTTCCTGTACTTCAGTTCCCTTTGCCCCTACTCGCCTTAGATTTATTCCTTTAAAAATTTTATTTTTATTTTTAATTTTTTAATTGAAATTGTCAGCCGTGGGAGGCTGGAGAGGGATCCGAGGAGGTGAGCTGCCCAACTGGAAGAAGGCGCGAGGAGCTGACATAGAGCAAAACAGCATTTTATTGCAGTACAAGCAGGTAGCGTGCGCTCAGGTGTACGCACTTGTCCTTTTATTATGCCCGCACATGCGTATTGTTCATAATGCTGACTCATGGCACTAGCGCATGCGTACACTTACTTCTTACCTCACACATGCAAGTTATTGTGAACTTTGACCTGGGTCCCACAGCCTACTCACTTAAGACTGCCGACAGAAATATAGTCAGTTGACAATGGGGTAATTTCTGGTGTACAGCATAGTGATTCATTTTTACATGTATAGATTCCTTTTCATATTCTTTTTCATTATAGGCTATTACAAGGTATTGAATGTACAAGGACCTTGTTGTTTAGACTTATCCTTTTTAACTCTTTATTTAATTTGCTTATTTATTATGTCTATTGTTTGTTGTCTCCCCTCCCCCCAACCTCGAACGTGAGCTCAATTAAGGGAAGGGACCTTCACCTGTTTGGTTCACTAATCTAGCCTGAATACCTAGATTTGTGCCTGGCCAGCACATCATCAGTAAACTTTGAATTTTATTTCATTCTTCTCAGCTCTTTCTTAATGGATCTGGAACTTTTCATTTTGTAGGTTTTTTTTAGGAGTTGATCCTTGCTTCCTTCTTGAAAATCATAAGTGCATCTTCAGGGGCATTTTGACTTTTCTTCATGTTTCCCAGGAGTAATTATACCTGGGTGTGGGGGTGTTAGATGTTCATATCTATAAATTATTTATGGTAGAAAACATTATGTTCTGAAGTCCTGATTGTAGCATGGACTTTGGAAATGCCAGACCCCACAAGGGTTGGAATCCTAGTCTCATTATTTACTAACTCTGACACTAAGCAAGTGACTTATTTTATTTGAGCTTGAGTTTCTTCATTTATACTAAGAGGAATTAAAATCTGCCTCATAGGGTTTTTGTAAAGTTTAAATGAAATCATATACATAAATCTCCCAACATGGTTCCTAGACCAACATGGTTCCTAGACCAGTATTTTTAAATTGAATGTGTTTGCAAAATCACCTGAGAGCCTTCTTAAATTGCAGATTCTGACACAGCAGATCTGAGGTGAGGCCCAAAATTGTTTCTAAAAAGCTTCCAGGTGATACTGATGCTACTAGTCCATGGACCACACTCAATTGTTTACTGTTGAGATCCAAGTGCATTTAAAGTGGCTCACATTACTTTACATACTTGGTCTTCAGTTCCTTCTGTTTTATTTTACTTTTTTAATAGAGTTACTGGACTTCATGCACGCTAAGCATGTGCTCTACCATTGAGCTATTACCCCCTTACCTTACTCCCTTTAAATGAAGTTTGTTCTACTCTTTCCAATTTGATGATCATTTTTGCTGATGGAAAGCTGGAAGTAACAGAGGAGAGGTTTTCCTTTCTCATTTGAAGTCTGTTCTTAGGACTTAGCTTTTCTTTTTCGTGTCATTTTTCTCATTCCTTTGTCATTTGCAGACTTGATTTTTTGGTCCTTATATTCATGAGTCCATTCTTTTCCTGGCAATTATCAATGCCTACATGCTTCTTTTTCAGTTTTAAGTGTATGGACTTTTAAGATCTGAATTAATCAGGGAATCCCCTTTGCACAGTCAAGTAACATACCTCCTATAAACCCCGATATCAGAGAGGAACATTTTAAGACAAATTGCTAATGGGCATAGAATTCTGATTTTAAAGGGTTTATTAATCACAAAGTTTATCCCTTTTCTCATACACAGACCCCCCCATTCATTCATTCATATTCTCTCTCTCTGAGAAACTTGTTCTAGTGAGAAGAAAAGTGGGAGGGGATGTAGTCTGTAGAACATCCCAGTAACTTCTCTTCCCTTGGGTAGTTTATATAACGCCAGAGATACTGCTTAAATGCCCTTTGCCTGTGGAGCTGCTCTGAGCTGCATTAGCATATCTATTAGTTTGTAGTTTTGAAGATCTGGAATTTTTATTCACTGTTATAATCAATTCAATTCAACTTCACAGACACTTATAGAATTCCTACCTGTGCCAGTCACGGTGTAGCTAACGTTACAAAGATGTGCACGAACCTCCCTCGGGGGTGGGGCAGGACAGACACTTAAAAGAAACAAGTACATTGAAGTATATATAATATGTGCATACGGTACAGAGACAGCAGGCGGGGTGTAGGCTCAGGTGGGGAGAGGGGATGCTCAGGGAAGTCTTCACAAGGGAGGCTTCAGTTTTTATTTGTAAAGAATAAGGGTGAGGCCTTATTTCCATTAGATGGCATTGTAGCCAAGGAGACTAGGAAAACTAGAATTCTGGCTTCACTTGTAATTGGATCATTCCCTCTTCCGTGAGGTTCCTAAGGAAACTATGCTCAAGAGAACAAAAAAGAAGACTATCAAAAGATCATCTTTTTGTTCATTGGATAAATGTTGCTCCCCCAAAGCTGGCTTCCATAAGTAGTGCAGGAACACCTGTCTCTCATTTTCCCCTGGAATCTCAGGCCTCCAGGCCCTCTAAATGACGGGGGCTCTTGATTGGGCAGGGACTACTGTGGGAGGAGGAGAACGCCTCCACTAGGCCCAACAGCTGCGTCGTAGGAGGGTGTGATGGGGAAAACAAGGCAGCCTGCGCCATTTCCTGCAGGAGCGTTCTGGAGGGAGGTGGGAGAGAGGAAGGAGCCTGGAATCAGATCATCTTGCTTCGCCCCTTTGATGGAGGAAATCAAAGACATGTGACCTCTCACCCTGCAGTAGATCGTTTGCCAAGTTGCTCATAACAGTCCCTTCTTGTTGTACATGAGTTGGCTGCTCCCTGCAGCACGAAGCGGACTGGATTTCGCCCGCTCTTCTGTCTGGGCTGGCCTGACTTGCTCTGACCAACCCTGGGCGGCCGGCGCGCGTTGTATGCACTCTGGAGCTGAGGCGGCAGGAGGCTTTGTAGTTTCTTCCACTCCTTTGGAGCCCTGAGATGGTCGTGTGAAGAAGTCAGGCCAGCCTCCTTGTGGATGATAGGACACGCCGAGGAGAGAGAAGCCCAGCTTACAAACAACAGGAGCCGCCAGACAGGTGAGTGAAGCCGCAATGGACCATCCCGTCCCTCTGAGGAGCAAGGGCCGCAGAAGCAATGCCCAAATGAGTCCAGACCGAATCGCTGAGCCAGAGCATCGGGAGTGGCATTTAGGCCACCCGATTTGAGGCGGTTTGTTTTGCAGCACTAGATAACTGATAGAAACATCTGACAATAGTGGGCTAATTATTGGGCTGGAATCTGACTAATCAGATTTGAAACGCCTTTTCTGGAAGGCCTCTAGGACAAGGCCTGGGCTAAGGGGCTGAGGAAGGGGATAAACCCTCCTCTGCATGGTTACCGGGAGGCTTCGCATCCAAGCAACTTTCTAAAAGAGTACCTTTCAGTACATAGGTCTTTTGAAATTCTTTGGTAGGTTGGTTTCTTTGATTGTAGGCAATAGCTCAAAGCCTTTAACAGCCCCCTCCTCGCCTCACACTTAGCAGTATTAAAGACCAAAGAACTCTGCAAAGTGTTGCTTGAGAGGGTCTTCTTTGCCTGTTCTCTGTTTAAACCCCCGTTTTCTGTTGCTTTTGACAGCTTTCAGGAACTTGATGTTTCAGGTGTTCCTGATTTCCATCCTCCCACTTTCAGCAACATAATCACCCTTTGCCATTAGCCTCTCACTCCCCACCTGGGGCTTAGGCTTGCACGCCCTTAATCCCACAGCGGGCCCTTTCCCGCCTCAACTCTGGGTTCCAGGACGAACCACAGTCTGCTACCACCTCCCCTTACCGGGTAAGGGGACCTGACCAGACTGTTCTTGACACTCAGAACCAAGACTCACCATTATCTTGTCTCAGGCGTCTCTTCCGTTCCTATTAAAATGATACCGTCGTTTTAGATTGTGGAGACAGCATGCAGTCTTGGTTATGTCCTCTTTGATGTAGAAAGTTTAAAACTACTAAATAAAGCTCTTAAAATATTGTTTATTTTGAGGTAGAGTATGTTGAAATCTGGGGCAAGTCTTATTCCTGTTTCAGGGTCTGAACTTTTCTTATTTTTCAGTTCTTTCCATGGTTTTTACGCTTCAGTCATATCTCTGTTCAGATGTCACCTCCAGGAAGAATCCTTCCTTAATCACCTACCTTCCCAGCCAGTCAGTCTGTAGTCTCTTAAGCAGATGAATTTTTTTCCTAGATCTTCTCACTTCCTGACTATATATATATGTATGCATACATATGGATATATGTGTATGTATATATATATTTTTTATTGGCTTATAAAATTATATAAGTTTCATGTGCACAATATTATATTTTGACTTCTGTGTACACTACAGCGTGTTCACTACCAAAAGTTTAGTTTCTTTCTATCCATTACAATCGAACCCCTTTACCTGTGGTAACCACTCCTCTGTTCTCTGTATCTATGTGTTGTTATTTGGTTTGATTTGTTCATTTATTTGGGGCATTTTGTTTGTTTTTTTATATTCCACACATGAGTGAAATCGTATGGTATTTATCTTTCTCCATCTGATTTATTTCGCTTAGCATAATACTCTCAAGGTCCATCCATGTTGTCACAAATGGCAAGATTTCATCATTTTTATGGCTGGGTAGTATTCCATTGTATTAAAATACACCACATCTTCTTTATCCATTCATCTGTCTATGGACACTTAAGATTGTTTCCATATCTCAGCTATTATAAATAGTGCTGGGATGAACATTGGGGTGCATCTATCTTTTCAAGTTAATGTTTTCATGTTCTTTGGATCAGTACCCAGAAGTAGAATAGCTGGATCATATGGCAGTTCTATTCTTAATTTTTCGAGGAACCTCCATACTGTTTCCTGTAGTGGCTGCACCCATTTACATTCCCACCAAAAGTGTATTAGGGTTCCCTTTTCTCCACACCCTCTCCAACACTTACTACTTACTTTTTTGAGAATAGCCATTGTGATAGGTGTGAGGTGATATCTCATTATGGTTTTGATTTGCATTTCCCTAATACTTAGTAATGTTGAACATCTCTTCATGTGCCTGTTGGTCATCTGTATGTCTTCTTTGGAAAAATGTCTATTTAGCTCCTCTACTTAGTTTTAAAATTGGGTTTGCTTTATTAAGTTTTATTAGTTCTTTATGTATTTCAGATACTAACCCCTTATTGCAATATGATATGCAAATATATTTTCCCATTTGGTAGGTTGTCTTTTCATTTTGATGATAGTTTCCTTTGCTGTGGCAGAATCTTATTAGTTTGATGTGCCTGTTAATTTTGCTTTTGTTTCCCTTGTCTGAGGAGACATATCCAGAAAGATATTACTAAGCCCAATGTCAAAAAGCAAACCGCCAATGTTTTCTTCTAGAAGTTTTATGGCTTCAGGTCTTACATAGGATTTCTTCTCCTTCCCCATTGCCTCCTTCTTTGCCTCTGCCTCCTCCTCCTTTTGGTCCTTGATTCTTTCTCCTCTTCTACATGTATCGTTTCTAGATTTCTTTCTTCATGCTCACTAATTCTCTTCCATATAGTCTGCTCTATTTCCAGCGCTTTTAATGCATTCTTCATCTTACTTATGGAGCTCTTCAGCTTCAGAATTCTTGTTTGATTCTTTTTTAGTTTCAATCTCTTTGACAAAGTATTCCTTCTGTTCATTCATTTTCTTCCTCTTGTTGAATGCCTTTCTGAGTTTTCTTAAAGTGCCTTGAGTTTCTTCGTGACAACTACTTTGAATTCTTTTCTGATGACAACGATTTTGAATTCTCTACCAGTTAGATTGCAGTATTCCATGACTTTAAGTCTGGTTTCTGGAGAATTGTCTTTTTCTTTTAGTGATATTGTGTTACCATGGTTCTTCATGGTACTTGATGAGTTGTTTCTCTGCTGGTACATTTGAGGTAGGTAAAGCTGTTTTCTTTTTTCTTTTTTTAAACTTGATTTTATTGATTCAACAGGTTAGTAATTAGAGGCTTTTTTGTTTGTTTTCAAGTAGGTGGCACCCTGGCACAAGTTTTGGTTTGTTTTACCTGAGTTGATTCTGATTATATTTGAGAGTCAGCACTTCCTGCCTCCACCACCCATGTCAGTGGTGTTACCTGGTGCCCTCCTTGACACTGCTTGTGCCTCTGGGGTCCTTGGTATGTTGCTGGTGTTGCCCCCTGGGGCACTGGGATGGTGGGCTCCTCTGTGTCTGGGGTCTCGTGGGCTGTAGGCTCTGCCGCAGTGAGGGTAGGTAGGAGGAGGGAGGGAGAGGGCTGGATCACGGGTGTCTCTGCCATGATCAGGATTGTTGGGTTTGCAGGCACCGCTGCTGAGTGGAGGCAGTGTGTAGAGTCTCAGGCAGCCCTGTAGATGGATAGGGAGGGTCACAGGCCTTGCTGCTACTGCTGTCTGCCTGTGGCTGTGAGTGCTGGGAGGCTGGTGTCCTGTGCGCTCCTTTCCCTGATGATGCTACTAGGTTCTCTGGGGCTATGAGCTCAGCTGCCATGGCTGGGGATCCAGGGTGGTGGGACCTCCTCCACTGTGCCCCCAGTCCTGCCTGCTCGTCGTACTGTAGTCCACCTGCCTTTAGGTGTACAGATATGTGGAATTCTCTGCGTCCTGGTGTTTTGGGAGAGACACCTTTGTTGAATTATAGATGTTTTACTGGTTGTAGATTGAAGGGGAGAGACGAAGGGAATATGCCAAATCACCATGATGCTGACATCACTCTCCTATTATATTTTTATTTGTCTACCACAAGGGTAGGATCTTTGCCTTGTTCTCTGCTGTATCTAAAACCTAAAAAAGTGCTCAGAGCATAATAGATGCTTAGTAAACATTTGCTGTATACGTAGATGAATACAGAATCCCCTATATTTGTATCATCTATTATTTTGATAAAAATTCTTACTGTGAATTCATTCATGTCATAGATAATGCTGTTCAGCAGCATATAGTGAAGGAAAGAGCTCTGTGGCATACCACTAGAGATAACTTCCCCACTGAATGAGAACAAATAATCAACACTTAGAAGTTTTAATTACTTAAGTATTGGTTTTGCCCTCATAAGAGAATCCTCTAGGCCATAGTTGAGTACTTTATCCACAAGAGCATCGTTGTAGGGTGACCAACTTGTCTTGGTTTGCCTGGGACTTTCTTGATTTTAAAACAGGAATTCCTATGTCTTTTCAGACCCCCTCAGTCCTGAGCAAACCAAGACAATTGGTATCACCCTAATATGGGATAATGTTCTGAACGATCTGTACATGATGTCTGTGTCAATCCTCTGAGTTATTACTTTGGTTTCCTACCAAAACCAGATGAGATTTGCTTGCTATGCTTTGTTAATGAAGTCATGTTGCTAATTCATGATCTAAATGTTCATAATTCATCTTTAGTGATCACTTCTAGGTCCTTTTCATGGATTAATCTCAAACTAGCTAGCCTGTACCTCCCAATAGAGATGACACTCATTTTTGAATACTGGGATATTTGAATTCAAGTGCTCTGGCATATCCCTTTTTTCCTCCCAGAATTTTCCAGTATAAAAGACAGCGGTGCCATGGTTTTATGCCTGCTTTGTCCTTAAGATGTCTAAAGGCAGTGTATGCCGGGAGGTGTTTGTTGTCCTAGAAGCCCAAGGTACTAGGAAGATCTGAGGGCTCATCTTTTGGGATTTGTGGGTCTGTGCCTTAGCAGGATGCCTGTTGATGGTAAGACCAGGGAAGTACACATTCTATTACTTAGCCTCTTAATTTGAATCTTTAATCAATTGGCTGTGAATTAGCCTGCCTAAAGAACCTTCTGGAACTTTTGTTTAACTCATAATACATTATATATTTTTCATTTACAGGTTGATTTATGCTGGCCCAAATCTATATATTATAAAATCTAAGAAAGTAGGTTGTGTGCTTTGTTTTAATATGGATATAGAACTTAGAACTGTAAATGTTTCCTAAATGTTGTTATTTCTAGACTCCATCATGTCCAAATGACCTCATACTTTCTGCACTGCCCGTTAAATATTGGTGTTCCCTAAATCTCTGTCTCTTGTGCATCTATCATCTCATAGGATAGCTGCTTTTTCACCCTTGGATTCAACTACTTCCTATAAGGAATATCTCCCACATCCAAGTCATACCTCTAGTCCCTTTTTTCCCCTCTGAGCTTCTTAATTACATAGCCAACTGTCTTCACTAAGAATTGCATCCAATAACTCTCCACCCTACCTGTGCCCTGCTTTGTTCCTCCTGTATTTCTTATCTAATATTATGTTAGGATTATGCCTGGCCCTAGTTCCAGGTCATAAAATTGTGGGTACCAGGGAAGTATCCTAAAGTAAGTCCTGTGTCAGAACTTGGAAGGCCAGGTGGAGATCAGGGGCAACCAGAAACCTAAGCAAGCAAAACCATTTGGATATCAAGTACAAAGAAGTAGGAAAGGATTTCAGAGGAATGAAGAAAAAAATTTGGCATATGCCAGGAAGATGGATGTCTAGGCAAGTCAAAGGATAGTTGAGGAAGGCTCTTATCAAGACTTAGTTCTATCTCTAGCCTTCATCTCTTGTGTAGTGTACTTGGTATTGAGATCTGGTTACTCAGTAGACAAACTGTCACTATGCTGGGAAAAATGGGGCATGGACCAACCTGACTTCTGTACTATATATCATTCCCCATTTTACCAATCGCATATGAACTAACTCATGCTACGAAACACATGTAATGGAATAGTTGGTCATTGACCTATTATCTCATTAATCTTTATCCAGCCCCGTGAGGCTTAGTCCATTTAGGCTGCTCTAACTGAATACCATAGTCTGGGTGACTTATATACAACAGAAATTTATTTCTCACAGTTCTGGAGGCCCAAGATAAAAGTGCCAGTAGATTTGGAGTCTGGTGAGGACCCACTTCCTGCTTCACAGACAGCCTTCTTTTCACCATGTCCTCACATGGCAGAAGGGGTGAGGGCCTTCTCTGGGGTCTTTTTCATAAGGGCACTGATCCTTATAATCACCTCCCAAAGGCCCCACCTACAAATACCTTCACAATGGGGATTAGGTTTCAACATAAGAATTTGAGGTGGATATATTCATCCTATAGCAAGGTATCATCCCTATTTTTCTGATGAGAAAACTGAACACCAAAGAAGTTATATAGCTTGTCCAAAAACCATGTAATTAATGGATTTATTAAGGTAGGATTATGTGGGAAGAATTAACTCTGAAATCAAAACGGTTAAACACAACAAAGTTCTATTGTGCTTATCGTGTTTATTCTCACTCATGTTACATATCTGATGTGGGTTAGTCGGGGGCTCTACTTAATATAGCTATTAAGAGACTCAAGATGATGTAGGCTCTGCACCTTGTACCTACATCATCTGGAACAGGTTTCTATGAAAGTAAAGGTGGAAGTAATAGACAAGGCACACTTAACTGCTTCTCACTGGTCAGAACTAGTCATGTGACATCAACCTAATTGGAAGGGAGTCTAGAAATAAGGGATTGCAAATAGAGTATTTGGTGAACACTGTCTTTATCAAACTAGTAAGTGTTGGGCCTGAGATGTAAACTCAGGTCTGTGTAGTCTCAAATCCTCTATCAAATTCCTACCTAATCCTGTGCCACAAGTTTCCTGAAGGGCAGGGTCTCTGGAATCAAGGGAGAGCCTAGGATTCTAAGTTTCACTCATCAGGGCTGCTTGTTGAGGTCGACTACCAAGAGTCTAACAGGACCAAGTTGAATAGATCAAATGGGAGCAGTCATGCCTAGAACAAGCACAGAACTACGGAGTAGGAGGCAAGCCACGGGAGGAAAGAAGTGGGAAGGTTTGGAGGCAGAGAAAATGTAATCAATAGAGATGTCAAAGTATAAAGGCCAGAGTAAACAGGATTTGGAGCCATCAAGCAGCAATCAATATAGAGCAAGCAAAAATGGATCAAGGAGTGGGTAGATGAAAGGCGGTCTAAGAACCAACCAGGGACATATCCCACTTACGCTGACAGCAGGCCATAGAATCCTCTCAGTGTGCCAATTGTCAAAACCCATGCTAGGCAGGAAATGTCCTTAAAATATCAAGATATTGTTTAAAAATCCATCACTGACTCCAAATTCTTTGACCAGCTGAACCAGGCCCATATCTTTGCTGCATGCCTATCTTGTTTCTGCCATAAACTATTCACAGATCAAGTATGCTATACTTTTTCACACCTCCATGCCCTTTACCTGTGGGATCCCTTTCCTAGAATGCTTTTTTTTTTTTTTTTGCCCCTTCTCCTCTGGCTAAAATCTTCCCACTATTGTTGAAGCAATAGGGAGCAGAGAAAGTGGTCAGAACATACAAAAGATGCCTTTTGTTCCCATGGCAACCCAAGCCTATTTCTATCACTGCATTTAACATGTGGTCTTTTAACTGTTAGTTTTCTTGTGGGTAAGAGCTTTGTATCCCATCACTTAGCACAGAGCTTGGCGCATAGAAGGTGCTCTTTAAATACTTATTGAATCAGAGCTGCAGATTAATGTGTTTAGGTGCTATTTCATGGAGTTCCAGATCAGGTCTATGCATTAATTTAAGAGTGAATGTAAATACTAAAATCAACCTATGGAAGATCAACATTTATTTATCTGATACTATTTATCTGGCATAAAGCAAGACTATGTAAGTATCAGAGTTTTAATTAATTTTCTCCAGGAAATAAAGACATTTAGCTAAGTATTTGTTATTTCTTTCAATTATTTTTCATGTATCTGCCTACTCTTAGAGTTGATATGTTTTTTTAAATTTGAAAGACAGTATGATACAATAGTGAAGAAAGGTTTATCCATCAAGGTCCAGTCAAAAAGACCACCAGTTTTTTGAACTGATGCAGTTTAATATAAAGAATTGTTAATCAGGTATTAGAGAACCAAAAAGGCAAAGTGAGGATGTAGAGGTGTACTAGTGGTAGTAACAGCAGGTAAATGTGTATACTCTTAGGACGGTGGGATCAAAGGAAGGAGACCAGGATTATTAAAATATAGACCTTAGAGGAGTTTTAGGAACTGGGTGCAGACCTATGAAGGTGGGGTGTGGGCTATCTGATGGTGGCATCTGTGAGAGGGTGCAATGAGGCTGGTTCTGAGCACGTGCAGAAGCTACAGACTAGAACTAAAAGCTGTTGCTGGGGTTAAGAACCATCGTTCAGATGACTCAAAAGAACAAGAAACAAGCCTAGTCCTTTGTCATCTTCCAGTCTTATGGTCTTCCTCTACCACCTCCTAGTGGTAAAGTCTAATAGGAAGCAGCTGGCTGAGTGGAAATGGGATTCCCAGAGTCTCAGTCCCAGCATACCAGAGCAGTCTAGAGGAGCGTTACTACTCAGAGATAACATCTTTATCACTGGTGTACAAAATAAAAAGAAAGCCCACCAACCACCATAAAACATCTGTTGTAATTTTTGCAGCTTAACTTCCATATATGAGTTCATCTTTACATAGTTTCAGTGTTATTCTCTACTTGATATTAAATCAGAATTATTTTTCACATTTCTACATTATATTTGTAATCTTTATGTTAATGGTTGTATAATAGTATATTATTTTCCAGTACTGTAATTTATGAAATTGTTCCCCTAAATTTGGGCATTCATATAGTTTCTAATTTATGGCTGCTACAGATAAAACTTTAACATCTGTGTGTACATACTTTTTTCCTTCTATTTAATATTCCTAAGAGTGGAATTATTCTTTTAAAACATCTGAGCATCTTTATGTGTTGCTTTATTGCTCTTCAAAAGCTATTTATGCTACTATCAGCAATAAATGAGTATACCTGTTTAACCAGTAAATACTGGTTTTTAAGCATCCCCCACAGTGAAATTGTGGGGAAAACAAAGACATATATTTTGGAGGCAGGGGCAAAATAAATTGTGGGACAGAGGGCATTTAAAACTTACCTTTTTTAATCTGTGCTTTTGCTCTTTTAACAAGAAATAGAGCCACAATGTAAAGCAGACAGATTTCTTAGCTTGGTCTTCCTTAGGCTAAATTTTTCCTTTGAATTAAAATTATGTAAGACAGTCTGAAAATGTGGTCCCTAGCCCAGCAGCATTGGCATCTTTTGAGAACTTGTTAGAAAAGTAAATTCTTGGTCTCTTCCACAGTTAGATCTACGCTAGATCTACTGAGTCAGAAAATCTGACGGTGGAGCCCGGCAATGTGTTTTACTAAGCCTTCCAGGTGATTATGAGCCATGTGAAAACTGAAGAACCACTAACCTAAGATGAATTCTGTGGAGAGAGGTTGTTACTTTAACTCTATTGTACACTTTAAACATACTTAAAGAACTGTTTCACTTTATATTGAGGAATAATTTTCAAAAAGTAAATTTTTTAACATACAGAAATTTTAACATGAATTTTTTATTTTTCTTTCTTTTTTTTTTTTTTGCTGCAGCTTGAACTTTATGTGTCCACAAGATATTTTAAAAAGTGAAAATAAGGAGGTCACAATACCAACGCAGCTTTTACCCCGTATCTGTGAGTACACTCATTTTTAATTCTTATCGTTATTTGCAATGGTTTCCTGTGGCACTGAGGCAAAGAAATTAAAGTGTTCTTAGAAGACAAATATAAAATGATTTGGCTACTAATGGCTAAAATGCAAAATAGGATGAATTTTGACAGGGTCCAACGAAGAAACTTAGAAGTTCAGAGGAGGAACAGATTACTTCTGATGTAGATGATCAATGGAAGTGTCATTTCACAGAGGTGGTGACATATAATCTATGGGTGGAATGAAGGATATAATTTTAAACAGGCAGAAAAGAGTGGACCATTTCAGACAAAGGGAACCAATAGATTAAGTGCAACAAGGGACATGGATGACTGGAGCATAGTGTGCATTAAAAGGGTAATGGACGATAAGACTGCAAACCAGGTCAACAAAAAGAATTTTTCTGATCATACAACCTAAGCATGGGCAGTTGAGGGGTCAGGCTGGGCTTCAGGGATGATGAAATCATGGGCTTTCTCCATTTCCTGTCTGCTTTTGTATTGGCTTCCTCCATACAGCCAGAAGCCTGGCTGCCCCAAGCTCCTTAGCTCAAATGGTGATGGTGGTTGAGGAGGAGGAGGAGGAGGAGGAGGAGGAGGAGGAGGAGGAAATAACAATTACAGCTGACTTTTAATAAATACTTGCTATGTTCTAGTACTCTGCTGTATGCATTCCATGTAGTGACATAGATTAGCTCTTATTCACTGTGTATACTTTAAATGTAAGACTGAGACTTAACAGGGGTTAAGTAAATTAACCAAGGTCACGCAGTAAGAAAGTGGCAAGACCAGGACTCAAACTCAACGAAGTCCGAACTGGTGTCCATGTTCTAGATCCGTGGGTGATAACATCAGGAGTGGCCAAGGGCCCTTCTTAAAGAGTTGGGAACATCTATTTGAACCACACCATTAAGAGTACAGAAAGGAGCATTTGTTTTTTTTGTTTGTTCGTTCGTTTTCAGAAGACATAGGATACTGTTTGGAGCAGAGAATAAGTCAGGTGTTAAAAGATAAACTGAGGCATATGAAAGTTTTCAAGAGTTTATTTGAGTAAAAATTGAAAAGGGTCAGGCAGCATCCAATCCTAGCAGCTAGAAAGGCACTCTGAGGAGTTAGTTGTACAAAATGAAAGACTTTTATAGGCAGAAGGGGGCAGGAACAAGAAAACTAGACCAGGCGAAAAAGCAGGTTGGTTATGGCAAAGTTACTTTCCTTTAGGGGCTGGTAGGGGCCTATCAGGCAGATGGCCTAAGTAGTGCTGATTAGGTGATTCCTGATTGACTGGTTGAAGTTTCTGTCTTGGGGAGAACTGAAGCCATAATGAACTCTTTGTTTGGTGATGTGGGGCTTAGTGTGACCAAGCAAAAGGGCTCGTGTACCAGTGGTGCAGCCAGCCAAACCCTGACAGTGGGTGTTTGCTGCAAAGTAAGGGTTAATTGCTGGGTGCCAAGCAAGGGAATGGGAGACTAGCCTCAGATCCACTCCAGCGTGGTCCTTGAGTACCTTGAGTTCGGGGTTCTTAAAGGGGAGGAACAAAGAAGGTGAGATTAAGCATTGCATCTCGTGGCATTTCTTAATCGTACTTTCAGGAGTTAGGATGTCTATGGTTTTTGGTGGTCTGTGGTTCAAGGAGGTGTCTGAGCTCCTTTGGTCCTGGAGGAACAGGCTGAGTTTAGAAATGATGTTATCGACAATAGCAGTTTTGTCATCTGACAGTTAACACAGGATTGAAATCAGAGGGGACAAGGAAGGAAATGAAATTTTGGTTAGAGAGGTTAATCACAAACTTGGCAGGGGAACTCAGTTTTAAGGAGACTCCATTTCACAAGCATAAGCGACTATTTTTGACCTGTTGTCTTGTTTTTTGTTTTTTGAACACAGGACACTAAATCCTAACTTGGACAATGACTCCTCACTGCGAGGCGTATTTACCAGCCACGCTATACAGTTTTAGAAGTTTTAAGAAATTTTCCCCAGATAAACTAGTAATTCAGTAGCAGAGTTGGAACTAGAATTAGGTCTTTAGACTCAGAGATGAGTGGTCTTTTCATGATAAAATTCTGTACCTTCCGATCCATCCTGTTCTCTTACTCTGGAATTGTCCTTCTGGGTTCATTCCTGCTGTGATGGTCTGAGCTTGTCTGTCTTGGCCGTGTAGACCCTATGTCAGCTCTTTTCCTCTTCAATCTGATCAGCTCACCCTCACTCTCCAGCAAACTAAGGGGCAGCATCTTCCAGTCTCCTCTTGGGCTTGGTGAACACCTCCATCGTACAAGGATCTTCTTTACTTCTGCCTGTTTATCGGCATGTATGTCTCCCCACCAGAATAGTAGTATGGTAAGGGCAGAACTGAGCTGGCCCTACTCGTATACACAGGCAAGACCAATGCAAATCACACAATCAGATTGTAATACATACTCAAATGGTTAAATAGTTTGGGACTCTGTTTAGTCATTTCACAAATATCTATTGACCAACTGTCTTGAAAAGTACTGTGAGAGGGTAATTGAAAATACCTCAAAGGATTCACTGTCTTAAGAGAAGAGGTAAGTCGTGGGTCATAAATAACTAAGGTAGAAATTTAGATTTAGAGTACAAATGACCCTCTCTAGACTGAGAAAACCTCCTCTGTGTTCAATGTTAGCAAATGACTATAGCAAGTGCAACTCAGTCCTGCCCTTCTCATACAGATTTCTGTTAAAGTGAATCAGACAGAATGGAAACTTGATTGAGTTTGCAATGCCACTGCTTAAATGAGCCTCCTGTCCGCAGGTTTTTGTTTTCCTTTGCTGATGTTAGTTGGTTACCTTTGTAAGAAGACATCTGTGTTAACCTAACAAATCTACTTTAGGAAAATATTGTGTATCTTGATGGGTTAATAGCACCTTATTGGGTTGTGGTAAGAATTAAATGAACTATGTCTTGACACATTTTGTATGATAAGTATCCAAAATGTTTTTCTTGGCTCCAGAGGTGTTAAAATAAATAAGCTTTGAGAACTCCACATCTAAAAAAAAAAAAAGTATCAGTAAACACATATATGTGGCAAATTGAACTGTTATTCTTTGTTAAAGTGTTAAAGAACATCTTTGATAGACTTCAAGCATGCACAGAATGGTCCAGGCCCCACTGAATTTTATGTCTCCAGCCCAGACACATTTGAAACTAGACTCCCTTGCATCAGTGATGTGAAATTTGAAAGTAACAATTCAAGCAGTCTATCACAATACACCTTGTAGGACAACCAGAGGACTCAATCCAGAATATTGCCTTATTTGGAGTACATTCTCCTGAAGGGGAGCAGAATTTGCCACCCCAAAATATACCTATTTGGCATAAGGATGATTTTAAGCTGATTATTTTTAAGAAACAGCAGACAGAGGAGAAGCCCTGGAAAATCAAGTAGAAGCTACCCTTTTGTAAGAGACATTTAAGTTTATAAAGGAAATCTCCACTTGTAAGGGTGTCTCCCTCCTGTACCAGGAGGACAAGCATGACTAAGTCTCTAGAAACTTAACAGTGGAGATGTGGATGTAAATCTGCTTTACAATCTTACCCTTGTTTGCTCTACTTTGCCTGGTAACCTCCCATAACTGGTTTTCCCAACCCCAACGTCTTCTTTTGTCTTAGCTGGAGATGATATTGAAGGTGGTGGCTTGGGCCATTTCAAGGAGTTACTCAGTTTTCTTGGGTCTCTCCCATGTGTACAGGAAGTATCCATGTTATTAAACTTCTGTTTGTCATAAGACAGATTAGTAAGAGGAAAACAGTGGGGTTTCAGCTGAGAACCTAGAAGGATAAAGGGAAAATTATTTTTCCTCCCCTACAGACCCTCTTTCCTAAATATTTAACTCTTTCAATTCTCAGAGACCTGCTGAATGCATCCCTGAGGGACCTGGCTCTCTTGCGAGGCAAGCAAATAAATTCATCTTTGTGTCTTAAATTTAACACCTGTCTTCTAGCTTCTAACTCTGGAAGAACTATGGGTCTGTCTTAGCTTAAAATAAATTAACATATTGGGGAAATCCGTCATAGAATATAAAACACTCCCAACCTAATAAAGTGCTCAAAAGGATGATATTAAATCTTTATGGACTATAAAATCACAGTATTTGCTCTTAAAATGATAGAACAGCCTTCAAATATTTTAGAAATGAGAAGAGAGATGCCATTTGTAAGTGAGAAAATTACCCCAACAATTTCTTTTTATTTTTTGAGTTATAGTCTTCTGTATGTTGTTAAGGTTTTGCTGGCTTGCTTTCTTGTCTTCGCTTTACGTCATCAGTTTTTTTACACACACTGGAACACCCTTAATGAAAGTTTAGCTAAATGATACTGTGGACTTCTGTTTCTTCTTTTCTTATATCTAACCTTTTCTGAGTAACATGTTGAGAAGAACATCAAGGGGTTTTGAAATAAGAAAGAAGTCATAAAGTATGTGACTGGCAGGATAAGGGTAGCAATACATATGGACGAAAGGAGAGATGTTCTCTCCATTCATTTTGGTCTCTCTTATTCTGATGAGGTGGAAAGGGTTTTTGTTGAAGAACTGATTATGCAGCTCTGAAGGAAGCCTTCTAGGCCTACAATTGGCAGTCTTCTCTCCAAAGGCCAAAAGACATTAAAGATGTGATTGTAGGAAAGTAATAGAAATTTCATCCTACCTGCCTGCCTGCCATCTGTCAAATTAATCACTCTCAATGTCTTTCTCCTTTTTCCCCCTCAACTTTTCCCTGTCTCCCTTTCTGCTCTGTCTGCCTGTCCCTCTCTCCTCTACATCATCCTGTGCCACCCTTGAGCCTATGTCTCCCTTCCCAGCGGTCTCTCTTTAAAATTGCTTTCGGTAATACTGACTCAGAGCACGACTTTCAACATACGGCTAGTGCTCTGTAAGTCCAGAGAGAATTGGATTAGCTGTTTTTTTCAATTTGTCAAGAGGCAAATGTGACCAAACGCTTAGCTGTTAGAGTATGAAAAACAGTGCA